GGAAACCTGCAGTCAGCTGAGACTGAAGAAGTCACTTGGATGAGTGACCACAAAACGCTACGTCCAGATGAACAGACTCAACTTTGGGAGATTCATGCTTTATTCATCCCTCCACACTGTACTGACAGAAAAGTCTTGTATCATTACGGACTACCATCTAGTGGCAGCAAAACACACAGGATGCTTGCACAATAAGTAGTACAACAGTGTCAACGTGTCTGGCTTTAAATGGTTACTATTTTTGTGTTTTACCGTATTACTTTAAATCAGAAAGAAACATTTACTAATAGCTGAGACTATTTTAAACACGTATATACTCACCAGCGACTGTATGAGTGCTGTATTATATGATTATTATGAGCTTGTGTAAGAGAAAAAATCAGCTTAACAAAAGCAAAAAATCTCAAATATCAACATCTATAAAACACTCATAAATATTTATAAAAATTGTTGGGGTTTTTTGTCTTGATATGGAGGGTTTTTCTAAATATTTTTTGTTATATTGTTTTCTAGAGGAAATTGTATCTATGTGATTGAGCGCAAAAGTAAAGTGAAAAGTAAAGTCCACACACTTAGTCACCCTGACGCTCCACTCTGTTCACTCTAATGTACTGACCAATCAGTGCCGAGGACCGCTGCAGACACTTTATGATTGATGCACTGGAACATGGCTCTTACATCATAGTGGGGGAAAACAGGTATCACCGGTTTCTGCATGACCTGGTGGACTTTCATCGTAGAACTCCCATCATGCCTTTCACTCAAGTGCTGACTGTTCCTTGTGGACAGGTGAGAAAATGTGCTTATCTCAACTGCATTCATGCTTTTTTTATGTTATTGTAAACTACAGGTTTACTTTTTAGTACATTATATAAGCTCAGGATAAGCTAAGCAAGCTAAGCTAAGTAAGATTAATTGTGTAAACTACAATAAAACATCTGTGTTGTAACTTTTCTACATCTTCTCAGGCTTCTAATGACAAGACTGACTATGCAGAACTACTGTTTCGCTCAAGAGGTCCAGACTCCAGGGCCAGTTTGCCACCAAACAACTTCCAGGTTCCCAGCAGAAATCCACCAGGGTCAAGAGAGGATATCCCACCTGCCCTTCCTCACCGCCCAAATCATTTGGGAAACTCACCAATTTTGCCTCCAAAAAGCCAAACAAATAGACTCTACCCTTCTTTGGAAGATGAGTTTCAACACAATACCTCTCAACCACCAGCACTGGTAAAAATGGCCTTGAAAACTATTGTTCAAGCTAAAGATCTCCGTACATTGTCTGATAAAGTTAAGGTTAAAAGATTTTAATCTAAAAAGCTTTTCTTTGCAGTTAGCATCCTTTTATACGAATCTAAAGAATAAGTATCAATGAGCTACTTGCTGTGAGTGACTGAGAAGTCTAGAGTTTTGACAAATTAGAAGTAAATGTAACCCTGAGTGTTGATGGATTTGTGGTGATGCACATTTGAGATGAGGTTTTCATTAACTTTAAAAATAAGAAGTAAAGAGATCTAAAAATAAAATAATAATAATAATTTAAGTTTGTCTTTATGTTCATCTGCAGCCTGTCCCTACACCCAGGAAGAAATATACAGGTGATAATCCTCTAGTGAGTAGACTCCATCCTTTAGCTCTTTGCCATTTTACAGGAAAACTGCATTATGTGTGAGATTGTTAAAATGCTCGGGAACTAATAATAATTCACCTGAGGAACTGTTGATAGACATCACAGAGCACTTCACCTGAAACAGGAACAATGAATATTTAAAATGCATATTAA